AGGGAAACCGAAACGAGAAGGCGGCGGCCATGAGCGCCGGGGCCCGAGCGAGGGCAAAGGCGAGGGGGAGACGGAGCCGAGGCGCTGGCCGCTGAGGGGGACGGCGGGGCCATGGCGGAGTTCCTGCCGGCGGCGCCCGGCGGGCCGTCCCTGCGGGAGGAGCCGCTTCCTTCCTCCTCCTCCTCCTTCGGGGCCGAGGCGGCGGCGGAGGAGGAGGCCGAGCTCTCCCTCATCAGCCTGGCCCGGACCAAGACCCGCTGGTACGGCAGCACGGCCAGCGTGGCGGCTCCTTTGGCCGAGCGCTACGCGGAGCACCGCCTCAGCCCCGGCGACACCCTCCAGGGCCTCGCCCTCAAGTACGGAGTGACGGTGAGTCCGGCCGCCCCGGCCTTTCGCCTCCTCCCGCTCGCGAGCATGGGCAGAGTGCGCCCGCCAAGCAAGCCAGCTCCCCCCCGCCCGCTCTTCAGGCCCCTGCGGGCGGTCCGCAAGAGGGCTGTCGACGCTCCTCTGAGCGTGTGCAGAGTTCCCGACTGGCCCCTCGCGGCCCCCCCGTGACTCCTGTCCAGTGCCTTCGGTCTGTCCCCTGAGCATGTGCAGAGATCCCCCTCTTCTTCCCCCGCTCCTTTCATCGCCCTCTTCAGCTCCTCCATCAAGTTGTTGTGGGTTGACAGCAGTTCTCCCCCCTGAGCATATGCAGAGTGGCACCTCCCCCCCCCCCAGGGAAATAACGGTACCTGTCTCTTAAGGCTCATGAACGGGGTGGGATAGGAACAGGCCTGAGCTTGGCCATCTCTCCCTTGAGAAGCAAGAATGTTCATCTTAAGGTTATTACAGTATTTATTTGTTTATTTGTACAGTATTTAAGGCAGCAGAGATTGCCTGACTGGCTCACTGTACTGAGAGTTTTTTTATTCATGGAGGGCTAGTGGCGATTCATTGCCCAGCAGGTTGTGGATACAGAGGAGAGAGTGTGCCTGAGCATGTGCAGAGTAGGTCTCCTCTGCTGTCACAGAGTGACTGCATACAATTCCCAGCATCTAGGAAGGAATAAAACTTGGGATGATTTTGAATTCCCAGGAACCGCAAAAGCAGGAGAGTGTCCACGTGGGCAGAAAACAAGTGGCAGAACCCATTCTGGGACAATGCCTTTTGTAATCATCATCATCATCATCATGTGCTGTCTAGTCAACTCTGACTTATGGAGCCCCTTTTTGGGATTCTCCAGGTAGAAGAAACTCAGAAGTGGTTTCCCATTCCCTTCTTCTAGGGGTGAACTGGGACGGTGCAGCTTGCCCAAGGCCACACAGGCTGTTTCTACTTCACAGGAGGCATGGTGGGGTTTCGAACTCCCAACCTTTGACTCCACAACCGGATACTGAACTCAATTGCTGGTGAATAGAGAGAGTCATCTTTGGAAGTGTGCAGACTTTTTGCCACCTTTTTGGGTTGGCCTAAGAAAAGGATCTCACACACACACCCAGTATAAGGTCTGGGGGTTTGGCCTCCTCTTGTGCCTTCTGCTTTAGGAGCAAAAGTGTAGCTGGCCTCTTCAGCATAGGATAGCACAGTGCAGTCAACGGTTGAATGAAACGAGATGAAAGACAGGCCCCGAGAAGTGGAAAGTGGTGTGTGTTACACAGTTTCTCATTTCACATTGGATTGTGCTGTCTTGAGCCTGAATTATTTAAAACTTTGTCTAAATGCATAGGTCGGCTGATGTGGCCTGCTGTAAGTTGTGATGCCTTGTGGAAGCAAGGCTCAGAGGAGTAGTGCACAAGTGGACCCCAAGACTTCAGTGTGTGCAGCTACCAGAGATCCAGTTCTCTGTTAGGGTTTTTGTTTTGGTAATCTTGTGACAGATTCTGGGGTCTGTCCCTTGGGCTGTTTTGTGCACCAGAATGGCCTTGTTCACACTGGTCCTTTAACACAGTGGTCTCCAACCTTGGGCCTCCAGATGTTCTTGGACTTCAACTCCCAAAAATCCTGGCCAGCAGAGGTGGTGGTGAAGGCTTCTGGGAGTTGTAGTCCAAGAACATCTGGAGGCCCACCCAAGGTTGGGGACCACTGCTTTAACAGGAAGATAGTCTTCTGTACCTCAGATCATACAACTGTTCTTACTTCTGTTTGTCATTATTTCTTCTGCTCCACGTGTTGTTTTCCTGGCTCTTAAAAGGCCATATTTCTAAACATGTTATAGAAAAGCTGGAGGGAACAAGAATCTTGGTGACAGAGTTTACTTTGCTTTCATAATTTATGAAATTGTGTTGACCACATCCTGCTGTACAGTACTGACACATCTCAAAGTAAATATTATGGTTTTTAGTGCATTGCAGTTCTTCAGATCTCTCATGTATGGAAAAACTTTGTGGCCTCAGAGTTAAATCATGTATTATGGACTAAGTCCAATTGCTAGTCCCAGTTCCAGCAGACTCACAGAGTCAGTTGCTGAATAAGTCATTACTGGTGAAAATGCATTTATTCAGTGCATCTACTCATTCTGGCGCTTGCAACTTGATTTAGATCAAGATACTTTTATTAAACAGAACACCTGCCTCACCAAACCCCAGTTTAATGTCAGGGTCTCATGGGAATTCAAAACAGCAATTTCAATGTGTTTTCCAAAACCTCATTCTTTAAAGTTAAATATTTAATGTCTCCAGCAGAAAATGGTTTTTCATCTAATAGCAAAGAGTGAAAATGTTGGAACGCTCACCAGAGATTCAAGATGAATCTCAGTCTAATTCCATGACTGTGATGTATAACATTTTATTATTGCCATAACAACAGTTTTGTGTTACTAAGGGGTAGTATAGTTGAGCCTCAGCTATTCTCTTGAAAGAGTTAGTAGGATCGCTTTCATTTTAATTATGTGAGGAGTTACTTGGCATATGGATGGAAAAGTAAGGGATATCAATTGGGAATATAAAGGATGACATTATTATTGAAAATACATTTTCTGTATATGTTTTGAAAGAAGAGACAAACAACTGAGTGTATAATTGAATAAAAAAGAGTCACAAGGAAGACAGTTGTGGAAAAGTAGTGGCTACTGTGATATTTGCTTGACTTGCATCAGTAAAATGTTTTTGATCTCTTTCAGATGGAACAAATAAAAAGGGCAAATAAACTGTTCACAAATGACTGTATATTTCTGAGGAAAACATTGAACATCCCCATTATATCTGATAAGCCGTTGATGTTTAATGGATTTAATGCACTGGAGTCTCCTGAAAATGAAGTTGATAGTCCCTCTTCTTGTGAAGGACAAGTGACAGTTCAAGAAGATGATTCTACACCCAGTCCTCCAGAGCCGGACAATCAGATTTTTCCACCTGAAGAATTGTCTGCCAAAGATTTTTTACATAGACTGGATTTGCAGATTAAGTTATCTAAACAAGCAGCAAAGAAACTAAAAGTTGAGGATCACAGGTAAAGTTTTATTCACCTATTTATTTTAGCACATATAGAAAGCTTTAAATGAATAAATAATAACCAAAGCTTTAGAGAGTAAGTTATCCACTGAAGTACCACCCTATTTCTCAACCATCATCACTGAAATTCCTGAGCGCTGATTTGAATTATATATTCCTACTAAGAATTTATTCCTTTTTTATGTACTATGAGAGTCAAATTATCCAAAAAAGCAGCTTTAACATGAAGATTGGGGAAGCATTCTGTGATATTTAACGTTAGAAGCATCCTGACATCTTGAAGGGCATCCCCCGTAACAAACTGATTATGGGCACTGGTGAAGCATATGAACAGCCCAGCATAGTGGCATGTGACTCTTTACCATTCCATACCAAAATAGTATACTGTAGCTGGCACAGAGAAACAATACCTTCCAGCAGTGTGGTATCTTTACACAAATTGAACAGTTGCTGCACCATCATGAGATTTTGATTAAGGATATATTCTGTATATTGCTGTTGCTCAAAATTTTTTGCTCCACATAATAACATTTCTATAGCAGCCTTGAAGTGATTTATTTTTAAGTCATCTTAAATTGGTTGGGATAAATTAATGCTTGCTTATTGCCATATATTTCTTTTTCTTCAACAGAGAGGACAGGGAGGATGATTCCTATGCAACTTCATCCTATCAGCAGTAGAAGAGGTGCAGAGTTAAAGTGAAAGCAGTTCTTAAAGAACTAAATGGTTGAAGATTCAAAAGCAAATCTTTTGCATTGATCTTATTTTGTGTACTTGTTACAAGTCATGTGTAGGTAATTCTACTGACTATATTTGCACTGAAATTATGTGACCCTCAGCCTTTTGCAGGTTAGTGTTCTCTTACTACACATTAATAGCGGAAGACAGCCTTCCAAAAGTAGTAATTGCCTTTGTATTTCTGCTATGAAAATATAGCACAGTAGCAACAGTATATCCCCGAGATTGCTTTAATGCAGAATCTTTAAGAAATGGCTGCATATACATATATGATGAATTGTAAGAGGAACTAAATATTTATGATAAGTCATTATCATGGCGCTTTGAGGCAGAAAAGTTTGTCATGTGAATTATGCAAATATCAAACCTGGCTGCTATGGCCCTGAGTTGGTGTGTGTGTGTGTGTGTACACAGATATATGTTTTTAGAGATCTAAAAATAGGTGTATAAAAACAGTGTGTGTGTGTGTGTGTGTGTACACAGATCTATGTTTTTAGAGATCTAAAAATAGGTATATAAAAACGTGTGTTTTTAAAATGACCAGGTATGTAGCCAACAATTTCAAGAGAAGAAATGTTCGAGTTTCAAAGTGTGTATTGCAATATTTTGTTTGGAAACTTTTTTAAAAAAACAAGAAGAGTGCTTAGTATATTTTTTTTCAGAGTAATGTTTGAAGCATGGCTTCTTGTGTGTAAACATACATAGTTTTTATGTTATAAATAAAAGATGCACTTTAAGAAAGCAACTTATCTTTGTTCAGCCTATCTATATAGAAAGCACAAGAGTGTCTGATCCTTTGCAAATACATTAAAATGTGATTTCTGTTTCACCTGGATGTATTAAAAAATTGTAAGCAATTAAAGTGTTTGTGCCTTATTTTCCAGTTACTGGAACTTTGATTAAGGCAATGAGAAGGCTGAATTCTTCGAATCCAGCTTTTTTATTTCTTTTGAAAATACTCAGAATAGGGGTATTAATTTATCTTGGTGAAGGAATGAAAAGACAAACAGTGGGAAGGATTGCTGGATTTAGATTTGGTCACAGTAGAGTCACTGAAACCAGTGGTTTAAGCTGGTCATGTGTGATGTCCTGTTAATTTATATCAGCCTATTGCTTGAATTAGCCTAGATTCTACCCACTGTTTTATGAATGTGCTCATTACATACCCATGAGTCATTCCATTGATTTTACAGAAGAACATGGATGTGGGATCTTCTAAATCTATAGCCAGCATCTTCAGCATATTCCTAAATGCAATAAAAACTGCAGGATTAACTGATGAAGTTGAGGCTGTGAGGTAGTTGACTAAGGTACGTCATTAAGCAATGCGTGATTTATGAAATGTACTGCTAAAAGACATAGCTGGTCAATGGCAGCAACTCCTTGCAATCACAGTGGGTGAGCCCTTCACAGTCATGCAACCTGCCCAGTTGGCTTTTTAGTTCCAGCCCTGAATTACCCATAACATACATTTTATCAAAAGGGATTACTATTTCTAAAGTAGCAAACCACACAGTCTATCTCTTGGCAATACAAGTACAAGTGGCAAATGCAGGTTTAGGTAAAATTCTGAAATATAAAGCGGCATCTTAGGATATTATTTTGAGGGGCAGGTGGCAGGCGGTGTTACATAATTTCTGAACCATAAATGGTTCCACAGATAATGTTTCCTTTCTGGCCTTTGTGGCCCTCTGCTGCAGCCATGCTGAAATCATTCATGTACGTGTTATCATAAAGTGTATTTCAGATTTTAGAAAGATTTCTTTCTCCCTCATATATATTCATAGATCGCTCAATGCATGAATTTGACTGTAAAGTGGCAGAAAGAAGATGCACAACAAAAATCTACATGACTCTTGTAGCAAAGCATTTAATAAAGTACAGTATCAGAAACAAGATTCTATTAGAAAAGTGTTGTGAGTGTCATGTACTTTGTAATTATTACATTTTTCTCCCAGCTGTCTTTTTAAATGGTGGAGATGCTTCAAAGCATCTCAAAAACACCATTAATATTTAAAAAAAAACAAAAAGGTTTGGGTGGGATTAGAACTAGAGATGTGCAGGACACATTATTGTTTCATTACAATAGGACTGACTTCTTGTGACAGCTTTCCCCCAAATCCAGTGAGGGATGCACTACCCTTCCCTAGGACCCTCCAAGACCCACGTCTGCCTGCCTCAGTTGTCATAAAAATCCTAGCGATTCTGTGGGAAAACGTGATGTACGGAGGACTTGGCCTTTTTCCCTCAAACGAATCATAGTCCTAACTACTTCTGAGAACATGATTCTGCAGGGAAACAAAGGTGTCCAGTCCCCTCCTCCCAGCAGAAACATTGGAAGTTGTAGTGTTTGGGGTGTGGGGGTGCATGTTGCCTTCCACTGCATTAAAGTGATGGAAGAAATACTACAATGGTGGCCTACCAGTTGCGACTCCATGGAGGAAAAACATCCAACCGACATTACAGTATACTGTTAAAATACGAGAGTGGGCCTCTCTGCAGTGCTAATTGTGAGAGCTGAGATCACTTGCTGGCTTTCATTTGATATAAAGTGCAGCCCATCTGCAGTGAATGATTGTGTGTAAGTGTGTGTGTGAGGGAGAGAGAGAGAGAGACCATGCCTCTCATTCGCTGTATCATTTCATTTACTCAAAGTTGTGTTTGATGCAACCCAACCTGACAGCTGAGTCCGTTGTTAGAAGCATTCAGAGAACAAAGCTTAGGAAGATGAACCTATTATTTTTCTTGTGGCATGGCCTAGCTATTAAAAAGATGTAATTGGTTGAAGGTGTGAAGTATGCAAAGTTTTTAAAAGCTCAATTTAAAAAATGTATTAAGATGAGTATCCCATTTTCTTTCCCTTCTGTTCTTTGCTTCATCAGGGCACCATGTGTTCCAATTAGTGCTAGAAGTGTAACAAAACAATGACTCCCCACCCCAGTTTCAAAGGGAATTCAGCTGTTATTCCTTTATCTCAGTAGCCTTTGGGGCAGCGAAGAATCTTTTTTTTTCAGCTAGCATCAGCTAACCTAATTATCTCTGCATAACATTATTGAGACTACTTATGTTCTTCCCAGTACTGCTCTTCTCCCTCCTTTGTCACCCACCTTTTTTTGCTTCACATTCTACCTCGGATGCCCAGCACTTCTGAAGCTCTGTTAAGAGCCATTAGACCAGATTAAGGTATTTTCAGTGGCTGCTGCTCTACACTTTCTGTACTCCCTTCCTAGCAAAACAGTACACATGGTTCCAATGGAGCTGGTCTTCAAAGAGTTTTAAAATATATATATTAATGTTCCAGGCTGTATTAAGCTAAGCTTTTATACAGTAAAGTTTAGGAACATTTTGTTGCTGTTATTTATAAATCAGCAAGGCTGATGTGGTATCTTATCAATGGTGATGTATTGCTTTAACTTTCTGGAGTTGAGTGGTGTGCTATGAAAATCAGTTTAAAGGAACTTATTCCTAGTGCAGAAACTTGGAGGAACAACCTGGCCTGTCAGATTGCTGATCATATTTTGGTGTGTCACAGTCTTGGTTATCCATCTTTCCAACCCAAAAGTTGTTTTGCTTGTTGGTGGGTTGTTTTTTTAAAGACCAAATATGGCCATCCTCATCTAATGTGATAAAAACTCACAAGCTCGATTCATCTGACAGCAAACCATTCTTTTTCTTTACCTATGGTAGATTCTTCCCCCTTAAAAGGTAGGGTCAGACTCCCATGGTACATCAAATAAGAATGCAGTTCTATTACCAAACATTTTAATAGTGAGTATTGCATTTCCTCCTTCCCCACTGTGCTTTTAAACAGCTCCTGGTTTGTTTTAATTTGGTGTTTGTTTCAATTCTGATAACTTTTTTAAAATCTTAATACTGGAAATTAGCTGCAGTGTTTTAGCTGCATCTGTTTTTTAAATCAATGTAGTGGTGTGTTGTGGATCAGCACCGAGAGAAAGGCAGGAGAAAGAAGGAAGGAAGCAATCCTTAGGGTGTTAAAGGGCTGAACAACCCGTGGCCTTCTGGATTTCAGTTCCTGTTTGCCCCAGCCAGGCTGCCAGCCTTTCCAGGGCTGTGGGATAAGGAGATTTGTTGTCCCATGTCTGGAGGGTCAGAAATTGCCCAGCCCTTCATTGAAGGTTCATTGAGCCCCAACAAGCTTGGGAATTTCTGCAGTTTCCTTTCATGGAGACCAGCAGTTTCAAAAACTGGATGGTTTTGGCTGGCAAATTGCATAATGATATCTGCTTACAGATCCTAAGCATATCTCTAGTTCTAAGCTCCTCAGACAGGTTGTCTTTAGGTTTTTTGTTTTCTCCTTAGAAGTTCAAAGCTATATACAGGTACCCTTAGGCTACTCACATTGAGAATTCCATTTGTCAGACATGCACAGAGAAATAACATGTATTCAAGAGCAATGGGGTGAGTTAATGACAGTGTTGCTACTGTACCTGACCGTAGCAATACTGTGACTATACAGTTCTTTCTCCCTGTAAAATCTACCTTAAAGGCTGATGTAGTGTTTAACATGGAGCAACCATTTAACTAGCACATGAACGGAGACACTCTACAAAGTACACAAACAACAAGGAACTAGCGATGCACTATTAGTGTTTAAACTGGACTCTCTGGGACAGTAAATTGTAATAATAACAACATATGAATATGACATTTCTTTACAAATCATGATTTTCCTTTGACCCTAATAAATAATGCCCTTTACAGATTTCTAGGATCAGATCTCTAAAAAGCTACTGAATGAGTTGGTTGATGCTCAGGGGGCAGAGGAGATAGGAAAGCTCTTGAAATATTGATCTTCTCTAGAAGAGCTTCTTGGGGTGAAAAGATAAGCGAAAAGGAAATACTTTGTTATCATGTTACCCTGTTAACTATAAAGTGAGCAGCCAAATTCTGCCTTACCTGTGTGATGACTAAAGTACAGGGAAAATATGCCTTGTGGATTGTTGACAAAGATACTTTGTCCCCTTAAACCTGGAAAAGGTTCAGTATGATACAGACAAAATACCTGCTAATAATCTTGAGTGGGTTGGTGGGAGAAAACAGATTGCAAGTCACAGAACTAGATGTGGGGAGAGCTAGACTAAGATTCCTTACAGCTTCAAGATAGGTTGTCCTTTCTCTTCCTCACAGGCTGCCATAGATCCGCTTAATTACATCCGCCTCTTCTTTATCCAGGATGCCTTTGTCCACGTAAGCATCTGCTTGTTGATCAATGAAGTCTCGCAGTTTTGAAAGGTCATAATCTGGAACGCAAGAATGGATTTATGCTGCAAATCTTACCTGCCTCAAGTCCTCCCTGGAATCACAAAAGGCTGAAGCATTAGGCAGGTTTCTCAAAGCCTTTAAAGCATGTGCTGGAAAATGAGGCTAAACCTCTCATGCTGGAATACAAGACACGTAGGTGAGGAAGAGCAGTGCTAGGGCAAGCAGACCCTTTGCACTCCCTAGGGGAACATCCCTGGTTCCTTTTAAATGCAGGCTGAACCTCTGTATTTTATTTTGACCCTCGGACTCTGAAATGGACACAGCCAGTCTCCTCTCCATACCAGCAATACAATCTTCACAACTTACCTCCCTTGTTTTCCTGCGTGTTGTGTTTCTTTAGCCACTCTATGTTTTTCCGAATTGCTTCCAAATATGCCTCCATTTTCCCTTCAAGGAGAATTGAAAAAGAAAAATTGAAGTGCTTATAAGCAAAGCTGGGCATGTGGTGTCGTTTGAGAGCTTGCTTTTTTTTGTTTTTTTACAGCAAGGAGTTAGTTTTGTCTCTCACTGGTCTTAGTTTTAAGGAACAATCCTGCAATGTCAAATAGATGCTTAAACAAATGAACTGCAGGAGCAGACCAGAATCAGTTCCGTCCCTAGATTGAGACTTAAAAGTTTCCATGAACAACTGACTGAGTAAAATCCATTCTCTCTCCCTTCCAATGGCTTCATTTCAAATTGTGAGGTTCAACCATATGTGAGTGTGTCATTTATGGACGGAAGGAAAGTAGGAAGGCGACCAGCTTGCGGAAATGTCCATGGCTGCATGGTCCAAGAGATAAAATTATGTTTTAGATCGTTATTAATAATGTATCTCTTTTTCCTATTATGCATGGTGCTTCCAGTTCTAAACAAGAGTGAGTCATTTTGCCAGTAGGACAACCAGGATAAAATTAGTTCAGAGCTGCCTTAATCGGGGTCTCTGGCGGAATATAATAGTTTAATGGATTCTGAACTTGTAACTTTGCCAGGGCTTCACTGATCTAACATGCTCTGATTTGTCAAAAAAAAGACAAGAGCCATTAGTCTGCTAGAAGACGCCGGCATTTTCTGTGGCTGTCTCATCCCATTGGAAGCTTGTTCATTTGAGAAATACAAGGCAACTGCTGGCTGGTTTCCTACCAATAATAAGAAGGCGAGCAGGGCCCCCTGCTTACCTTTGGGCTCTTCGTTGTTCCCTGTGTTTTGTTCTTCGTCTTTGGTGGAATCCTTCACCGTTTCATATTCTTTCTCCATTTTGGCTGCCGCTGCTTTCGTACTGTCAGCTTCTTCGGTGCTTTTGTCTAGAGAAGTGGCGGGCAGAAGAGCCTTTACTTCTGTGTCATCTAACGTGTAGAGTTTCAGAAACTATAACTGGCTGCCTCAGGGCCCAACTATGCCTTACAGATAACCCGTTGTTGGGAGAGGGGATTTCTTTAGAGCTGAAAGCATGTGATGGCCACTGTGGGAGCTTCTCTCCCTCCTGGAATGTGTGGTTAGTGGCAGATCCAGCAGGAGAGACAAAATTGGCCCCCGGGCCCACCAAAGTTGCCGACCCAGAGCCGGATATAATGCCACTGTTTTCTCACTCAGCTTCAGCCCCGCTAATGGCATGACAAAGTCCTATACAGTTACACAGAAGAAGCCCCCCCAATACCACGGGGTCTAATTTACAGTAGCTATCGTTGGCTGATGCAATCAGAAATGGAGCAGTGGGTAGACACCGGGTACTGTTTACCACAGATTCCACACAGACCGTACAGAATATAAACACCAGCTGGCACGGACTATTTGAGTAACCTGTTAAAATGCTGTAATACTAAATGCATTTTCTTAAAAAGTAATTGCACCCCCCCCCCAAAAAACCCCAGTACAACAATGTGACAAGAATACCTGACAACTTGGCTTTGGTACTTGGCTGTTCCAGTTTCTTTCGTGTCTGTAGTGCTATCATTGCATCCAGGTTTTCTGCAAACCAGAAATGGGAAATGCCTTCTTGAGTGCCACCCATGAGAATTTTTTTGTGTTAATGGAAATGAATCTGCTGCATGATGTTGGCGAGATCATGCATTCAAGGAGGGAGAAAAATATCTTCCTGCAAAAGCTTTGATATTCTCTCATTGTTGTCTCTGCACAACCGTCCCAGGCAGGGAAGGGAGGCACAGTGTGTCAGAACTGTTTCAGAAGGGGTCAGGGGAAATGAGAAGGGTTTGGGTTATTTTCCCCCCTCAGAGCTTGGGAAAATGAATTTTTGAGATTTCACCTCTTGCAGTTCCCCAGCTGGTTCAGCATACAGTACTTAACAACAGTCCCTCTAACAATACCTCTCTGACAACTGTAGCTTGCTGTCCACCACTTGGTGAAGACCTTCATGATGGGCTAGTTGTTCAGGCAGTTAAAATATAGACAATGTCTTTTTTTCACTCTCCCAAACAGTAAAGACTGTAGTTCTTCAGATAATGAAAAAGCAAGAGCTCAAAGAGCAGAGAATTCAAGAGATCGTAGAAAGGACAAAGCTTTGAAAAGGTTCTTTTGTTTAACCAGAGCTTTCAGAATTTCTCAAGCAGCCATATATCCTAGCTGGGAAATTCTGGGAGCTACAGTTCAAGAAATAAAAATACAGCTTTTCCCAGCTTTAAGAAAAGTCTTCTTCTCTGAAATAATTTATTTATATTCCTTTTCTTTCAGAGCCCTGAACTGAACATTTGGAGAAGACTTGAAATGCAGGTGCAGGTTGCATCAGAGCAAGCTAAGCACCTGGTACCCAGGCCACTAGTTTCTCCACCCTCTCCACATTAAAAAAAATCATCAGAACATTGTTTTGTTTGCGGGCAACACGGCCAAACATGGTAAGTACCAAACGGGATATTATAAACCATGCACATGATAATAAAAGTGAGGGATGCTCATGGTGGTGGGGGCACTGGAAGCCCCACTTGTGCAGGGTGTTGTTTTTCATAAGGCCCAGCCCTGAGGGAAGAAGGGTACCTCCTTCCGCTTTGCCCCCTCCCCCATCTCGCTGCACGACTTGTCATCACCTTTTCAAACTCGATCCATGTCCTCAAAGGCCAGAAACTTTAAATTAACAGATGAAGAGGAAATGGTTGCCAAAGGAATCTTAAGTGGGTTTTTACATGGCCCTTGAAAGAAGATGAGGTTTCCCAGAGGCTTTCCACTTGTTGTCCTCTGTCCTTTCACACGTAACCCTTTGGACTGTTTCTAAGAAAGCAGAATAAATTCTCAAGAGCTCAGCTGGAGTTCCTGCTCCCCTCTTAATCAAAGTTAAAAATTTAAAAAAAGGAAATCAGCCATTTTTCACTCAAGGGACTCCGTGTACGTAGGCAGCCACCAGCTGTGGTCTGGAGATGTGCGCACAGTGTTTGCTTTGAGTGATCCTACCGGGGTGAGTCATCCAGTTGCATGGACAGTAGCTAAGCAACGGGGTGTCCTGGCTGGGGCTTTAACAGGATCTGATGTCACTACTGGGCCAGTTGCCTTGACAACAGAAGTTTTAAAACACGGTAAGAAGCTGAGGGCATTAACAACAACCTTTCACCTTTAGAATTAGACCATTAGAAGCTGGTGGCTCCTGTACTGTTGGGATAGTGAATGCACTTTGGGTTTTAGTCAGAACTTTATTGGACATACAGGGTGTGGAACACTATCCCCATGGACACATTGGAGAATCTCTTTAACAGTCACACTAAAACCGAGAGCGAAGTTACTGGCCCCTCTGACCTCATAGCCATCAGCCTCCAATCATGGCACCTGTAGAGTTGGAAAGATCCCAAGACGGTTTGCCCCAACTCCCTGCCCTGTTCAAGAAATGCACCACTAAGGCATCCCTGGCAGGTGGCTCTCTGTTCTCTAGAAACAGCCATGGGCAGAGAGTCCACCACCGTCAGAGTCAGTTCTTCCTTCTGTCAAACAGCAGTTTATGGGGACAACTCAAACTCTTCCAAGATATGGACTGGAAGCACAATGTGGCAGCTAATTGTGAATTGGTTTGTGGATTGTATTACAACAAAAGTTGCATAGGACCATTAAGTTCTTAATGTATGGAAGTATGGAAGTGAGAGCTGGACTATAAAGAAGGTTGACCACCGAAAAATTCATGCTTTTGAATTGTGGTGCTGGAGGAAATTCTTGAGAGTACCCTAGACTGCAAGGAGAACAAAAAGATCCATTCTAAAGGAAATCAACCCTGAGTGCTCACTGGAAGGACAGATCCTGAAACTGAGGTGCCAATTCTTTGGCCATCTCATGAGAAGAGAAGACTTCTTGGAAAAGACCTTGATGTTAGGAAAGTGCGAAGGCAAGAGGAGAAGGGGACGACAGAGGATGAGATGGTTGGACAGGGTGACTGAAGCGACCAACATGAATTTGACCCACCTCCGGGAGGCTGGGGAAGACGGGAGGGCCTGGCGTGCTCTGCTCCATGGGGTCACAAAGAGTTAAACACGACTAAACAACAACAACATTAAGTTCTTCAGAGAAGAAGTAAGTGGGTGCATTGTCACATGCCTCCATGATGCTGCTGTTTGGAGAGAACACATGTCCCTTAAGACCTCTCCATCTGCCACCCCTCATGAGTCAATGGGACTTGCCCAACTTGACAAAGAAAAGCAAAACATGTGGGAAGCGGAGACATATGGCAGCATCTGTATGTGTCCATTTTCAATCAAAACAAGACCAGGGAATGGGATTGCTGAGTCATGAGCAAAGGAGGAAGGTGTGATCCTGGTGACTAAGGAAGCCATCATGACAGCAAATGGCTCTGAAAAGTAGAGGGAGTTGAGACTGAGATGGCTGCAGCCCAGAAGCGAAGGAGGACCATGGTTAACTTAAAAGTTTCCGTTGCTTGTTAACGGTCAACAGTACCACCTCGTCCCTGCTCTCAGGAGAACTGAGAAGTCGTCCTTGGCCACAACTGGAATGGAACCACTTTGCCCATTCACTCAGGTTTTGGAACAGGGGCAGAGCCTTGCGATGTCACAGAAGCAGGACAGGCAAGGTTTAGGAGGTAAAGCAAGGACAAAACCCATATGAAGACCAGAGACCCCCCTGCACCAACCGGGAGTGGGGCTGATATGATGGCCCAGGCCTGTAAGCCATCAGGCCATCAACTCCAACTTTCACCCCTGCTGTGCTGCTCACTCTGGGATCCCTCTCCCTCCCTGGAGGGAGACCTGGGTAAGCACAGCGATTGTCTGTGACACCTGCCATTGCCCTCAGAGTGGGGAATCCTGCTTCTGTGCCACTACATGGCTTCTAAGAGCCTTGTGGCGCCGGGATTCAACTGCAGCCAGAACTGTGCTCACCACCTGGGGTTCAATCTCAGGTAGCCAGCTCAAGGTTGACTCGGCCTTCCATCCTTCCAAGGCTGGTAAACTGAGTACCCAGCCTGCTGGGGGAGAGGGCAATGAGTAGCCTGCATAATTAACTTGTAAACTGCCCAGAGAGTGCTTGAAGCGCTATGGGGTGGTATATAAGCAACACACTTTGCTTTTGCTTTTTGCTTCTAATGAGGAACTTCCAGGCTTCGTGGTGCCATTGAGATACAGCTCAGTCTCCCCACCTACACCCCCTTGTAATTCATGACTGCAGTGGAGGGCTTTCCAGCTGCCATGTAGAGCACCTGTCTTGCAGCCAAGCCAACTGGATCCTTTCTTTCATGTTTTCCCTCTGGTCCCCAAAGAGGGAGAGGCTTTTAATAGTATCATTGACTGAAGGACGCTGCAAGACCATTCCTCTGCCCCAGCAGCAAAATCCTGCAAGGTTGCCATCGTGCTGGGCTTTCAAATCCCAGGCCAGCTGCTGCCAAGATGAGCAGTTTCCTGTCTCTGCAGAATGTCAAGCCAAGAGCTCCAGAAGCCTCTGTAACTTGACAGAGTAAATGATTTATAGCCTGGAATGCATAATTCAGGCTGTAGCCTCAGCCCTAAAAGCAGCCAGGCAGAGGGAGTTTAAAGGCTGATCTTTGGAAAACCAGCCACTCTTTGGCAACCAGGTTGATATCCATGGCTCCAGGCAAGTTCAGAGCAAAGCTTTCTTGAAGCATTATCTTGAGTGGCAGAAAGCGAAAGCCGTGATTTGACTGGTGACACAAAAATCTGTGCTCAGGGGTTGGTCACACTGAGCTCAGTGTGACCAGGTTATGGATTTATACTGTACACTATACAGAATTATACCTTTAATGTCCTCTTCTGGAAAAAGCAAAAGCATTGACAATCATGCCCACACACACACAGACCACCTTTGAATCGCAGGTCCCATTTTTGCCGCCTGCCCCCCCCAAATTAGCCATAAAAATAACATTCTCCTTATTGCAGCATACAGCCTTGTTTCTGTGACAACAACAGTCGGCTCCCCTCCCCCTGCACCGTTGACACCCACACGCCCTTTGTTGTGGCAAAGAGGAAATTCGAGTACATCAACCTCTGTAAAATCAGCAGCATTTAAAACCACAACCGAAGGGAAAAGCAAGCCAGTCACATTGGCAGGAATAATCGCAGCGGCCTGAGCAGCCAAACATCCTTCTGAAGAGAAAGAGTTTCTGCTGCCATTCTGGATCTCTGCGGGGAAGCTGGCCAGGTGGACTTCCCCCTCCAGAGAGTTCCCTGCGGGTGGTGCCATCATGCAGAGCAGATCCCTCAAGGAACCTCATAAAAGGCTTTCAGGTGGAACACAAGGTTCCCTGTGTATATTTGTAATTAGTCCCAGATATAAATAGAAATATAGGGGTGGGGTGGGAGTCCACATTCACGCTATTTCTCTCACTTTGAAATAACTGGTCATACAAAGTCACAATTTTGACACGAGCGAGCCTTCACTCTGAGGAGAGGACAATGTGATCACCCAGCAGTCATTCCACCAGAGAAACAAAATACATTTATACAAGGTTCTCTCCCTTACTTACCGAGGTACGACACGCCTTCTTCTGGGGTGATGGTGCCGTATTTCACCATCATCTTCACAAAGTCAATGAGGGTCTTCATGATTGTAATCAGCGTTTCCTTCTCTTTAGCTTCTTTCTCTGCATTGAGGAACAGGGCACCCCTATAATGATCGCATGGACTCCAGGAAGCTGATAACATGCATAGCCTTTGGAAACTTCCCTTTGGGGTGAACTTTCCTAGAATCCCCCACCTAGTGCGTTCCCTATATTTTATTTATTTATTTATTTATTTTATCCTATGCTGGATAAGGGATTGTATCTGCAATCGCAGCACAAAATTCACATCCTGCAGTAATTGACAGCTTTGCAGCAGGCCATCTGCTTACGAGAAGATGCCTAAAGGACAGGTTGCAAAGGCACAGCAGAAAGTGCTGCTCAGCCCTGGCACAGGGTCCGGCATAGTGGGGAAGGAGCTGCCCCAGCAGTTTGCTTAAAAAAAGAGGGGGCGACCTTGCTTGCACCAGGAGGGGTGCAATGATGGGATTCCCCTTCCATATCCTGGCTTGGTTCAGGATGAGAGGGACTCAGAGGAAAAGAACTAGCTCATTAATGCCGCAGAGATGGCTGCGAAATCTTGTTATGAGCTCAGTGGAATGTACTTCTGAATACAATTTTTGCTTTCTCTTGCATTGTAACACCCACAGTCTGTAACCACAGTTGTAGCAGCGTGATCCTAACCCAAAAGATCTGCACTAAGATGTGCCAGGAGGGCGATCTGCTGGCAGAAGTGCTTGGAGACTCACCAGAATTAAGGCTTTTCAGCAATTCATAGAAGTTCGGGAAATACTGGAGATCCTCAAAAGTATCCTCGGGAGGCAGCTCATTTCTTCTTTCCAAGATGTTGGAGGAAGGCCACGTATGACCCAGAGTATCATCTTGCTCTGGGTATGT